GGGGTGGCGGGGGGAGGTAACCAAGAAAAAGCTCTGAGGGTAAATTATAGCCTTTCTCCCGTGTGTTTTCACAAACGTTTCACTTTGAAATTTAAAAAGTTACACATTTTGTTTGAACTGATAAGCATACGTTGATAGGAAAGGGTGGGGTAAAAATAAATAGATTAAAAAAAACAGAAAAAAGAAAAAACATCCAGTGATTGGTTAGCAAGTGGTGTTTCACGGGTAGTTGGAAGGCGCTGCTGGAAGGTCCTACTTCTTTTCTCTGTTTCTGTCTACGAGGGTGATTGAAGGGCGCCACTGGTATGTCATACTTTTTTTCTCTTTTTTTTTCGGTTGCTGTCCATATGTTTGTTTTGTGTGTGTGTGTGTGTGTGTGTGTGTGTGTATGTGTGTGTGTGTTTAACAGAATGAAAGTTGTTGTGTCGATGTGTTTCTCTCTACTAAATCAAAACGTTATTGTTTGTCTGTCTCTTACTCTTTCCCGGCACAAAAGAGCCATAAATTGTATTGCACCTTTCTGTACTTACCGGCCACTGTGTTATAGTGGTTTGGCGCTTGGCCGTGTTAGGCACAAGTCCTGAGTTGGATTCCCTTGTGTGGAGACCTTGTACTATCGTCTATCCCTCTCAGCCTGGGTTGGTCCTGACTGGCAGGATCGAAGCCCGCTCCCTAAATTATCTCATTTGTGTCGATGGGGGCTTCAATCATCATCATCATTGCCATTCTCACAGGATATAGGCCACGAACAAACACTTTCCACTTTTCCCTATCCTGGGCTAGTCGCTTGATGTCCCTCCATGTCTTCCCATTTTCTGTACATCCATTTCCGTGACTCTTCTCCAGGTTCCACGTGGGCTTCCCCTTGATCTTTTACCCTGTAGATTCCAATCTAACACTTTCCTTGTTATGCAGCTGGTCGGCTTCCTGAAAGTGTGTCCGGGGCATCAGTACACCTACCTTATAAGTTTATTATTTGTTTTCAAACTCTAACAACCGCGTGGGTATGTGGTTGTTGCCTGCTGGGGTGTGGTCTGCTCCTGCTTCTTTGTCAGCATTTGGCTGTTGTCTTAACAATACTAATACCACTCAGCACCTCGTGTGTGGCTGGCACCGTTTATTTCTTTTGAGTGTTAATGTTGATGTGAACTCTGATAGAGTTGAGCATGGGTCTTTGTTACCGCTCCTATACATTTCCTTTTACAAATGTTTCTCATTTTTGCCTTCTTTTCTGACTTTCTCGCCTTTTTCTAATTTTTGCCCTTTTCTAATTTTCTTCTTCTTTTCTCATCCTTTTCTTCCTCCTCAGTGTTGTGTTTTTCATCTTTGTTTCAATTTACCGGCTTTTTTAAGTACTGTATTTAAAACATACATTTGGCTTTTTGCATCTTTGTGATTGATTTTCATGCTACGAATAGTGCTACAATATAAAACTAGCGCACGGAGATGTTGTGTGTGTGTGTGTGTGTGTGTGTGTGTGTGTGTGTGTGTGTGCACGTGTGTGTGTCTGTGTGTGCGTGTGTATGTGCATGTGTGTTTGTATGTGTGTGCGTGTGTGTGTGTGTGTGTGTGTATGTGTGTGTGTGTGTGCATGTGTGTGTGTGGGCATGCGTGTATGTGTGGGGGTGTTTACGCGCGCATACGGGCGCATGTGTGTTTTAATCCATCTCGTTTTAATGCAAATAAATGTTTGTTTAGTAAAGCATGTCATATTATTGCTCTGTGACCGCCCACCTTGAACGCTGTGACGTTTACAGCTATACGCCTGTGATAATGATTATTTGGGTGCAAATGTGTCTGCGTATACGTATGTTTGTATGTCATGCATGTCTGTTGAAATAAGTTAAAATGAAGGACCAGGCTACCCGTTAGGGGAGATCTTGTTATATGACTTGAACTGACTTGAACGCCACTAACTTTTGATTTTTATTTGACTGTCATCCGTTTTCGCGTGCGGTGTCTCAGTGTATTTTGATAGGTTGGTTGTTTCTGTCTATTGGTCTTACTTTTGACCAAAACTAAAGTATCATTGTTGTGTCGATGTGTTTCTCTTTACTCAACCAAACCAACCAACTAATCAACAAACAAACCAACCAACCAACCAACCAACAAACAAAACAAGCAATTGAGTAAGTGCTCTTCTGTGATCTTCTTCTACATGAGGTATCATTGGTAGACGTGCCAATCCTCCTAGTAAATCCGTAATGAATCCGGATTTCTGAAATTGTCAAGATTTTGTAATATTATACTAACTGATTATCTGTTCCTATCTTAATCTCATTTTGCATGTCGTATTGTACTTTATAAAACAACAGTCATCATGCAGAATGCTTTAGGCGATATTATTTTGACCCATGCATTTGGAGTCCTCGCGCGCATGTTTCCTTTGGGGCCGAAACATTCCAGATTTTGTTGTTGTTGTTGTTGTGTTGCTGCTGTTGTTGCTGCTGCTGTTGCTGTTGTTTATGTTGTAGTTGTTGGTGTTGTTGTTGTAGTTACCGCTGCTGCTGCTGCTGTTGTTTATGTTGCTGTTGTTGTTGGTGTTGTTGTTGTTGTTGTTGTTGCTGCTGCTGCTGCTACTGCTACTGCTGATGTTGTTGCTGTTGCTGTTACTGTTACTTTTGTTTTGTTTTCGTGGCCAGTTGTCACCTCTGTGTCGCTGTCCTGACCAGCTCCCGTCCGGCACAGCTTGGCCGTTATTGATGAAGCGATTTGCCATCAAGTACAATAATGGACTCGTCGTTGTCTTACTGTTGTTGTTTTTTTCTGTGTCTTCCCTTCACTTCTTTTGTTTTTTGTTTTTTGCTGTTCATTGGCTAATGCGCTTGTGATTACGTCAGTACTACTCAACATTCCTTGCCGGCTACCAATCTAATCTTGGGCTGTGCTTGATGTGCGGTTGGTTTCATTGCTCCGTGCTGTGCGGGCTTGTTATGAATATTTCTGCAATGAGTGTTTCTCAAATATAGTAGTATTATATAGATTTTTGCTTTCTCCTATGTACGAGCACGGCTGTTGCCTGGAAAGTGTATTAGTCATAGCGGAGACATTTGCCTCTCTCGTCCCCTGCCCTCCCCTGATCTCCTCCCCTCTCTCTTCCCCACTCTCCTAACCAGTATCCTCCCCATCCTCCTCTCTGATCTCCTCCCTCTCTCGTCCCCTTCCTCCTCTCTGATCTCCTCCCGCTCTCCTCCCCGTTCTCCTCTCTGATCTCCTCCCACCGTCCTCCCACTCTCCTCCCCTTCCTCCTCCCGACTCTCCTCCCC